AAAGCGTTACCTGCACTCGCAGCCGGGCGCGCCGCACTCGCTGCACATGCACTTCGAAGTGCTCACAGCGTTCGCGACACACGCGCGCGATGACGTCACTACACTGCAGTGACACACATGAGGTGTCATAAGTCGATGCCTCCCACAATGGGCGTAGTCTAAAATATTTGCCATAATTTCTTGTTTTTTTGCCATTTTAGTTTGACATAAGCGTTGACATCGATTGTATCTCACTGACGCCAGTTTATGTTCACAATGTGCCAGTCCAGTTAAGTTTGTCCAACTGTACTGGCCAAGTGTGAACCAAGCAATGCCAAATTTACTATAGGTAAACTAGGCTAGTCAACATACGTGCTGGCATTCAACTGGTATAATGTAAACGCTCACTGGCGCCAGTGAACCCATACAATCCCAGGCCAGCGTTACTGTCCAATTGTATAATATGTAGGAGACACACTCGTGTCACGAACTCGCTAGAGTTTCATACGAAATTAGACGAAAACAAACTTTTATTTGAATCCAAAACATACGAAATTGACAACTTACATTATTGTAAAGTGTAAATATTTTTTTTTTAATATGTATATTGTGTTATTATAAAAATGATCTCAATTGTTTTTAAGAATATTCGGTACATAATAAAGTCTATTTTCGATCAATGTTTCTTTTCATTATTCTACTTTACCTTTTTTATCATAAACTAGCTGTTGCTCGCGACTTCGTCCGCGTTAAATTGAAAAGTGGAGCCTCTGTTACTGTTAACGGAGCTTTGTCATGGTGCAAGAAAGTTTGTAATCGGCCCAGTAGTCATTTAAATATTTCAAAACATACAAAAAACCATAAAAAAAAACAATTTTTTCCTCTTTATATAAGTACAGAGTAAAAGATATCTTATAAATGCGATAGTTTAGATGTATGGATGTTTGTTAGAGTTTATGTATTTATGTGCTCAATAAACAATGAAATTTGGTACAGATTTAGAGGGTAGTCTGGAAGACAACATAAACTGCTTACTTTTAATTCCACGCGGACAGCTATAATTATCACCACCTCACTAAATGGCTTGAAACCTACTCGTAAAGTGTCACTATGCCATAGTCAACCACGCTGGCCCACTGCAGGTTGACTTCACACGTCTTTGAATTTCTTTGCCAATATATGCAGACATAACGATGTTTTCTTTCACCGTAAGATCGTCGGGGTAAGTTATGCATATGAAAATCGAAAATCTCATTGGTACACGATGGGATTCGAACCCAACACTAGATTACAAGTCAAGTGTTTACCCCTTAAAGCCAACCCTTGCCAAAAGTCTACAAACAAAAGTATAGTTTTAATGAAACCAGGATTTATTTTTCCCTTGATCTGTGACTCAAAATATAAATAAAATATACCGAAATGATTATTTCATAATTTAAAAAAATGCTCTTAAGGGGTAAACCCCTGTCTTACCGATGATATAATAAATAACATTATAAGGTAATATGTGGAAATAAAAATAAACAAATTTACTCATTAAAGCAGTTTATTGAGTACTTTAACTTACAAAGCCAGTGGACAAGACCCCAAATTGTTACACTATTGTGTATTTTCAA